AAACCAGATCTTTTAAAGCTTACCTGTCCCCTGTTCCACACCTTCAGGGCAGCTGGTGTCTTAATGCTGAACTCCAGCATGGTTCCCGGCTGGTTGATGCGTTTTGGGAGACCATGCCTTGGCTCAGCAGCCTGAGGCTATAACCACAGAATTCTGGGCACTGATGCTGGAGCTGGGAATATGTTTGAGGGCAGTGGACTCCCTCAAACCACGTGGGCAGCTGGCCTGCAGGCTTGGAGGGTAATTTTAGATGCTCCAGGAAGGATCACCCACTGGCACTCACCAGCACCAGAATGATGAGAGATGCATCTCCTGGTGCAAAAAGAGCCCTTCACCTCAGAGTCAGAAAGAACAGGTGCCCTGAGAGGAGATGACAGTTGCCCAGCAGTAAGCAAACCCTTTCCTGGGAGCAGAGTTTGGTTTAACTCTTTATTATGGAAATTTTCCAACATACAGGAAAGAGAGCAGGATAAAGACTTCCCATGTGCCCATACCCTGCTCAAGAATCATCCACTTTTGGCCACTTTGGCTTCAGCTCTGCCGCTCCCTGCCCACTGTACTTTGAAGCAAACTGGAGCTGGTTTTAGAATAAAAGGAGGAAGAGGTGCCCTGGAAGTTAAGTGGGTCCCCGGGGGTAGCTGCACCCGGAATGGGGGTGGGGGTCCTGGTTCTGCGGATGGAGTAGGAGGAGGTCTGGCTGAAGGAGCCAAGCCCCATTTCCTGCACCAACCCCACCTCCCTTTGTTTTCTCCTTCCACCCCCCTTTTCCCCCTCATTCACAATAAAAACATAATTATGGGGCTTTATAGAAAAAAAGGCAAATTATAGTGACATGCTTTAATTATCCACCGAGCAATGGCGGGCTGAATTACACAGGCAGGGCCTTGGAGGTTACCTAAAAATAAAGCAAGAAGCCTCATCAGATGCTAATTGCTGCTTTCGCCAACTGAAGTAGGATTCTGGTGTCGAGTGCCATTCCATGCTGGGTTGGGGGCGGGTGGGTGGATCTGAGCCCTGTGAGGCTCAGAGTGCCAGGGCCAAGCCCTGACGGGCAGCTGGGACCATCCAGGGCAGGCAGGAGGACAGGAGGAGCCCTCAGTGCCAGGGGAGTGCCTCCGTCTCCCCTCCTTGTTCAGTGGGCAGATGGGAACCCGGGACTGGGAGGTGAACCCAGTGACGGTGTCAGAAAGCGGCCACCCAGCCTCCTGCAGGCCTGGCTTCTTCTCAGGGGTTTCTCGGCACCCCTTGGAGGGCCTGGAGGCTGAGGTGGTGTGGGGGCGGCTCTCATGTGATCCACTGAGCCCTCTTTCCTGCCTGGCTCTATGCCTCTGCCTCCACGGCCTGAGACGGTGGAACAGAGGGGGCCTGAGACGAGGAGATGGGCCGGGCAGACCAGAGGACATTATCGCTCAGAACAGCCCCACTGAGCCAGAAGGGACCTGAGACTCCAGCTTGCCCTCTGCTCCTGCGGCTTGTCTCCCCAGGGTCCTAGGAGTTCCACAGAGGTGCCCTGTGCATCCAGCTGGGCTGGAAGTTGCTGGGTGCCTGCTCAGGCTGGTAGCAGCACAACCTTGGGCTTGAGCCCCAGGCAAGCTCAAATGGGCACGTTGCTCACTCCTGACTTCACAAAGTCTGGTACCACACCTGGCCCACTCGGCTGCACAGCCTATCTGCAGGAGAGCTTTTAAATTGTGCCCATGCCCAGCCCTCCCCGCAGAAGTTCAGGTCCAGTGTTCTGGAGGGCCCAGCGTCTGTGTAAGTTCCCTGCTGGTTAGAAAGTGTGCTGTGGGGTGGGATGGCCACTAGTCCAATCCCTTTGTTCGAACATTGAGGAGGCTGAGGCCGAGGGGGTGAGAACATACCCCTTGCACACAGCAAAGGTCTCTGGGGGCCACTGGCTCCCTATCCAGGGCACCAGAGACCCTGACCTCCTCCCCCACCCCCACCAACATCTTGCTGAGATCTAACGTTCTGAAGATACTTAGCAGCTTTCCCCGGGCATTAATAATTGAGGATGAGAGCAAGGGGAGCAGCCAAGCCACCCGGGAAGGGCCAGGCATTCCTCCCACCACAGGCATTAGGACAGGCCACAGCCCTCGCTGTACTGGCCCTGGGTGATGGACCCGGGACCCCAGCAGCACCCACCCTCCCAACTGTTGCAAGTCTAGCTGGCAAAGGTCTTCCTAGGGCCTGGTTCCCTCCCATCCACCTCAGACCCACAGAGCCCACCCACACCTCCGCACCCCGGGCTAGATGCCCAAAGTCACACCCACCCAAGGCTTCCCTCCTCCACCCACCTCATTCTCACAGTCATTTGACTTTGGGACACAGTCTGCTGTATCTCCCCCTCACACTGGAAGCTGCCTGAGGGCAGGGCTGTTTCTCTCCACTGGCAGGGGATAGGTAGTCCCTGAGGGACCCTCCTGAGAGCCAACGGGCAGCATCCCCCTTAGAACCTAGATGGTGTCCCACAGATGTAGGGGCCCTAGCCAAGTCCTGGGCTGAGTGTCAAAGCCCTGGGCTCCAGGCCCTGCCCTGGACCTAGCCTTGGGCCTCAGGCCATCAGTCACTTCAGGAGGGGCGTGAGCCACAGAGCAGGCCGGGTGCCCAGGCTGGCGGTGCTGCCAGAGTCACCCTGGGGGAGAGCTGGCTGGACCCCTTTCTGCATTCCTATCACCCTCCCCTCCACTGCCCTGGAAGCTTTTGGCAGATACCCTTGATCGGGCAACCTGGTTCTGCCTGAGTAGGCTGGAGCACTGGGTGGAATCTCTAGGCTGGAGCACTGGGTGGAATCTCTAGGCTGGAGCACTGGGTGGAATCTCTAGGCTGGAGCACTGGGTGGAATGTCTAGGCTGGAGCACTGGGTGGAATCTCTAGGCTGGAGCACTGGGTGGAATGTCTAGGCTGGAGCACTGGGTGGAATCTCTCCTGGGCAGTGGTGGTCTCAGGAGCCACTGTGCACAAGCAGGACAATCAGCAAGATGCTTCCCTTCCTGCCTCCCTCGCACAAACATTTATTGAGCATCTACTAGGTACTGCACACAGATCCCAGGGTAGAAGAGATTTCCTACTCACAGGTATGTGAGATGCCCAGGCCAGGAGTAAGAGTGGGCTGATGGAGGGGACATAACACCTGGCATGATTCAATGTCCCAGAATTGAATTGGGACATTGAACTCAATGTCCTCACACCCAGTCCCTGCCCACTGCCCAGGGTTCCTCCAGTCCCTTCCACTGTGCCCCATAGCCCTGTCAGCTAGCCTGGAGATGGGAGGGGGTACAGTACCTGGGGGCAGGGCAGGGGTAGGGCAGGAGGAGGCGGCACAGGCAGCCCGTTTCCAGCTGCTGCCTGTAACCTCATCGTGTCGCTGGCTCTATAATTTACCCCTGGCAAGGCCCAGCCCATAAATGCTCTCACTTCTTACCTCCCAACCTACCAGGGAAGCAGGTTGAGCCTTCTCAGTGATTGTCTCAGGCCACAGGCCTGAAACAGGCATCCTCACAAGCCACTGGGGCCTAAACAGACGATCAGACACTCAAGACAGACACACATGTGCATGGAGGCACAGGGCGTGCACACAGACATGCAGCCAACACAGCCACATGGCCACGCCTGTGCTGTGCACTTGTGGGCCCACGTGGACACACACCACACACTGATCTCCAGGGCAGACACACATTGTCTTAGCACCGAACCTGGAGACAACACAAGCAGCGAGGGACGGCTGTGATGCTGGCAGCCCTGGAAGCTAACTTCTCAAGAGGATGTCCTGGCTGGAAGGAGAGAGGCGCAGGGTATGGGGGGCGGGGGCGGGAGGGCAGTCCCAGGTGTGAGAGGTGTGAGACAGATGACAGGAAGAGCAGAAAAGTTACCTCCCAGGGCTGCAGGGCAAGGGACAGAGCATCTCCCTACCGAGGGGACTACCAGGTGCTGATTCCTGGAATTTCCTGCAATGTCTCTGCCCCTTACCTGGAAACCTGGCCCCTCCCTGCCCAAGGCCTCTCCACACCACCCTAGATCCCAGCCTAGGGAGCAGTCTCCACGGCCCCCAAGCCCTCGGTCTCCACAGCCCAGGTCCCGCTTCCCTCTAGGTCCAGGCCCTCCAGGGGCAGGCTGAGCCTGCGGTCCCGTGGCAGGACCCTCAGTGGATGTGGAGCCCGGGTGCAAAGCCATGTGTTTATTTTTATTAGAAATGTTCTGGTATAAAAACAATCATGCGCTACACATTGTCAATAACCATCACCAAACACCCAGGCACTGAACTCCGTGTGGTCGGCAGGAGGGGCAGGCAGGCAGGCGGGCAGGACACACGGCAGACGGGTGAGGCAGGCGGGCAGGCTGTGGGCCACAGGGACACACACAGAGACCACCAGGAGGACGCAGCACTTGGCAACACACTCGAGATTTTTTTTTGTTTTGGCTTTTTTGTGTTTTGATTTTTTTTTCTTTTTTCTCTTTTGTGACATGGAAGGTTTGGTGAATTGGGGAAGGGTGGCAGGGAGAGCGGAGCAACGGCTGCACGAGAATGAAGCGGAGGAGGACAGGAAAGAAAACGGCAGAAGACTGACACAGGTGGGACCCAAGAGAGCAGGAGGAGCTGAGGACAGAGAGGATGAGGGAAAGGAGTCAGAGGCAAGAGCCAGAAGCGAGACACAGAAAGCAGCCGGGGACAACAGAGAGGGGAAATGTAAAACAAATGGATAAGAGAACAGAAAGACAGGGCTGGAGACAGACGGGGGTGTCACCAGCAGCACAGATAGACACAGAGGGAGGGAGAGGTCTAGCACTGGGGCCCACACGACCTGAGCTCCTGTGGTTTGGGGCCAGGAGGGGCAATGGTCCAAGATGCAGGTTCCTGTGATGGCCTGGCACTGCCCTGGCCCCTCGTCCTCCTGTCGCCCACCCAGCTTTCCCAGGCTGCCAGCAGTGACGGCCAGGGTCTCTGCTGTCCTCAGCACCAAGCCACGTCCGTGGGCGCCCACGGGCAGGCAAGACATCAGCTGGGCCCTTGGGTGTGAGTGTGGCTCTGGCCCGTCGCACCATCCACAGGATCACGGCTCCTCCTCCTGCTCAGCTCCGTGGCCTCGCTAGATTGCATGGTTGGTGTAAGTGACGTAAGTCTGTTTGGTGGCCAGCACTGGAAGGAGAGAGAGCAGGGGTACCCAGGAATCAGGGGCTACTGTTCTCAAACTCTCCTTCCACACGGGCATAGCCCTGCACAAGAACCTACCACAGCTCCCCACTCTCATGGCACCGGTCCTGAGCTGAGCAAGCAACATCACCCCAAAGTGTGCACCGGCCCTGCCTGGCCCATCCAGCAGCTTCTCCTGCTGTTCCTAGCTCCCCATCCAGGGACTGGGCCCACGTTTCCCACCTCCATGCCTTTGCCTGGCTGGGCTGCTTGCCTTTCCTCTTCCCTTTGTCACTCTAGAGATGCCACCTCCCTCTGGCGCTCCCTTCCAAAGCCCACTCCCGTGTGAGGGTCTCCCCAGCATGGGGCCCCTGCCACCTCCTAATTCTACCACACTTCAAAAGAAACCTTCTTTATGACATCATATAACCTTAAAATATTATCAAAAAAATGTCTTTCAGAAGTTCAACCACACACATTTTGGACATGCACACGTGAGGAATATACATTAAAATAGAACAGCGGTCTAGGGAAAGAGAGTGGGGAATGGGGACAGAGGAAATAATAAAAAAACCGGAGCAGGGCCATGCATGGCTGGAAACTAAGGCATGGGATTGACTCAGCCACTGCCCCACGCCCAAGGAAACACAAGTCCCCCGGGGCCCCACGACCCTCTGAGCATCCACCCTTTCTACCTCTCAGCGCCCGTCTCCCTCAGTCTTGAGCCCCCCTTTTCTGCTCGTGTCCATCTGGCCCTTACTCCACACTGGGACTGGGGTGGGACATCAGGGTGTCTCCCATTCCTGTCCACAGCTGAGTGATCGGCAGCTCTCATGCACAGTGTGAGTGTCCCGCACCCCTCCAGAGTGCAGATCCCACAGCAGTCTAGTGAGGAGGCCAAAGAAACATCACTTAATTTGCCAGATGAGGAACTGAGGCCAGAGGGGTGAGGGACCTGGCCAGACCCTTGGTTTTGCCTTGCCCAGCCAGGGTTCAGGGCTCCCTCAGCGGCCTGGGGGCCAGCTCAGTGGCGGTAATCAGGGCACTATTGCTGCCGGGGGCAGGGGCTGGTCTGCAAGTGTGGAGAGAAGCAGTGGTGGGAGAAACCAGCTGGCCTTTGTCTTAAAGCAGCCCTGACCCTAGGTCGGGATATGTCAGCTCAAAAAGGAGGCACATCTGCCAGACACAGCCAGGGGCATCAGGTCTGGAAAAGAGGAAACTGGGGGACAAATGTGGTTGGTGTTCTACAAGTTGTCCCCCCAATCCTCTCTCCCGTTTCACTGGGCACATGACTCTGAAGGACTGTTTCCCAGCCTCCCTTGCAGCTAGGTGACGCCTTACCTGACTGCACCCTTCCTCATGAAATACACACGGAAGGACTGTGCAACTCCCATGTCATTTAATTAAAATGAGGCTTTCCCCCATTCTTCTTCTCTTTTCCCTTCCATGAGCAGAAAACCATTGAGATCATCTAGCCTCAATCTTCAGGGAGCCAATGGAGAATGAGATGGAAGGATCCTGGGTCCCCACTCCCACCCACCCAACGTGTTCTATTACAGCAGAAACAAACATCTGTCTGATTTGAGCTGCTCTGTTCCGGGACCTTTTTGTCATAGCAGCATAACTAGAAGCCCACTAACACAGGATCGTGGTGTCCAGCTATCAGTCTATCACACGTGGAAGAAGCAAACTGGCTGGGGATGGGGTGAGCAGAGGGGTCCACCATGGGACCAGTGGGGAGGCATGAAGGTCAGAGTCCAGTTCAGTTAAAGGAAGAACTTTCTCCTGGCCAGAGCTGAATGGAGTCAGTGTCCTGAGCTCTCTGTCAATAGAAAAATCCAAGCAGATGATGAAGAATCACTTAGCTGGATAAGGGTGGGCAAGTTTCAAGGCTTAGGTGCCACCTGGACAGGTGCCAATGGAAGAGAAATGGTGCCAAAAAAAGAAGAACAAACATGGCACCTTACAGTTCGTGAAGAATTACCACTGTCTCTGAAATGACCCATGTCCTTCCAAGGGTGCTGGATGACCAAGAGGGCCGAGGGAACACAGGACAGGGAAGCTTGGATGGGGCAGCATCCAGGAAGTGGCCTGGGATGGCAGGAGGTGCTGAGAGGGAGATCAGCACAGATCAGCACCCTGGGGGCAGGGGCCCACATTCTAGTTGCAGGGAGGCCTCACACTCTCTCTGAGCCTCAAGCAGCTCCTCCCCTTCTTTGCTGAGCCTCAGTTTCCCTGCCTGTAACATGGGCAGGGTGGCCCTTTGTGCCTAGACTACTTCTCCTGAGGGACTTCCAACTGCCCCCAAGATCTTCACCCCATTCTATCCCCCATGGTCAGAAAAAGAGCCGCAGTTGCTATGCGAATCACCGCAGGTCAGGCTGGTGAGAATCAATTTCCCCAGGGCGCCATCAGCCCCTCCGGGAACTGATAAAACTCAGCTTCCAAGCCTGTAAAACCCGTCAGCAACTCCTGGCTCAGAGGTGGAAAAAACTCTCAGCAGCCACAACCAAATCCCCACCGACTGCAGGGGGCTCCAGGGGCAGCTGTGGACTAGAGAGCACATGGAAAGCAAGGACCGCAGGGTCTCTGCTCTCCTCTAATGCCCGACCTGTCTACCCTAGAAAATCCAGCTCACAGGTTCCAGAAGCTGGGGAGCCTTTCACCCACGCCTCAGTCTCACCATCTGGAAAATGGGAGCCACAGTCTGCCCAGGGTACCCACGAGCTAACAGTGAGGCTCCAAAGGAAGGGTTCTGGCCAGAAGTCAGGAGACAGGGTCCAGTCCTGCCCGCAATGCTATGGGGGAATCTCAACACATGCTGTGTGGCCCTTCCAACAAACTGACCTTCTCAGAGCCAAGATTCTCTCATCTGTCAGATGGGGTGACAATAAACACCACGTGGAGTCGGCCAAGAGGTGAATAGAAACACTCTTTTTTTTGTTTTTAAGATGGAGTCTCGCTCTGTCGCCAGGATGGAGTGCAGTGGCACAATCTCAGCTCACCACAACCTCCGCCTTTCGGGTTCAAGTGATTCTCCTGCCTCAGCCTCTCGAGTAGCTGGGATTATAGGTGTGTGCCACCATGCCCAGCTAATTTTTGTATTTTTAGTGGAGACAGGGTTTCACCATGTTGGCCAGGATGGTCTCAATTTCTTGACCTCGTGATCCGCCCACCTCAGCCTCCCAAAGTGCTGGGATTACAGGTGTGAACCACCACGCCCAGCCAGAAACACTGTAAATACAGCAACACGCTGGGCAGAAGGACAGGGCTGGAATCACTCCAGCAGTGGGGACAGGATGGGGACAGCAACACTCCCGGATCAACCTCAGTGTGAGAGGAAGGCTGAGGGGTGTGGGCTGAGGCCCCAAGCCCACCTAGTGCTGATGACAGGCCCTGGTTGCCAGCTTTCAGTTGCCGGAGGCTCAGATAACAATTAGCCAGGCAGCGCTAGGTGCCAGCTGACAGCCCCCCATTTGTCGCCCCTTGTCTCCGCACCCACACCCAATCTGCCTACAATCAGGCCCCTGAATTATTTATTCTGTTGTTTGTGTGAAGATATGTAGCCCACCAGTGACAGAGTGAAAAATGTCCCTGCTCTACAGGAGTGACACTTCCCCACTCCTCCGGCTCACACCTCCTCAGTCCGGCTGTCCCCAGAATTAATCAACTGGCTCCTGCCTGGTGCCTTCATGGCCCCTGTTGTCACTGAGCTGAGAGACAGTGGGGCACAAGGTGCTGGCCACTGGCCTTCACACAGAAGATGGGGAGGGGGCTCCCCCTTTCTCTACCATGGAAGCCCCTAAGACTTTCTGTGGGGAGGATGCCAAGGCCTGCAGGGGGTCTGGGTGACTACAGACCCCTCAGTCCCTCCCAACCCCAGAGCAGCTGGAAGTGAGGCCTGTGGGGGCCGCCCACAGCGTGGAGGCCCCCAAGCTCCTCCTGGGCAGGAAGCAGGGGTCTGGGGATACAGGGTCTCCCTCCTCAGGCCTCCATACTCCTCCTTCTCTGGCAGGAGTGGGTAGTTGTCCCGTGTTCCCAGGTGACTGGCTGGAGCAAGAGCAGAAGGCAGGGCCAGTGCTGAGCCGTCAGAGCTCTCTGTGAGGGCCCCACCCTTTATGGGGCCCCCTGGCCTGTCACAGCACCCACAGTGTCAGCCTTTGGGGTCAGATGTCACCTCTGGGAGGAGCTCTCAGGCACACTGGGGAAAATCCCATGTGACAGACCTGCTTCTGCACATGGCAGAGAGGGTGCCTTGAGGGAATGGGACCTGAGAGCCAAGAAGGGAAGTCTCCATGGGAAGGAGGAAAACTGGGGTGTGGGTGGGGTCCCCACTCAGGCAGAAAGGCCTGATCAGGGCATCATCTGGGGTTTCTGGACATCCAGGAATACATGAAAGGCCAAGTGTGGGAGTCCCATGGGCCCCTCTGCCCCTTCCCAGCTGTGTATGGGGACCAGCATGGCACCCAAAGGGAGCCCCAGGGTCATAGGTGGGGCTGGGGGGAGGAGGAGGTCTGGAAAGAACCAGAGGTCACAAGGGAGGGAAAGGGGGACACACAGGCATCGGGTGTTGATCAGAGACAGGGAGGGTGTCAGAGCCAGCATACTCTCCACAACAGAGGAGCACAGGCTGGCTCCCGGAGGAAGAGAGGAGTTGGCAAAGATGGTGGCACTGTCCTGTAACCAGCCCTGGAGGGACCTGTCCTGGCCAGTCCCAGACCACAGGCCTGCCCCTCAGCCGCCACAGTCCTGCCTGGTGCCCTCCCCCACCACAAAGCCTGACCTCCTGCCAGGTCTCCTCGGACAACCCCTGGGCAGGCGGCCACCTTAGCGCCACAGTAGGCAGTTCTGCGGGCCCCTCTGCCTCACCCTGCCCCTCACCCACCAGTCCTGGCCAGCCCATGTCCCGGGTCCCCATCACTCAGGTGCCTGCTAGGAGGTGGCTGGGTGCTACAGCTCCCCTGGGCCCAGGGCCGCTCCCACCCCACCGGGCTACCAAAGGGCCAGTGTGCAGGGCCCCTGGGACGACCCCTTCTCCCAGAGGAGCTGAAAGGGCACAGGCAGAGACCTGGACCCCAGAACGGAGAAATCCAGGGATTCCCGCTCACCCTCAGGGGCCAGGCGCCTCCTGGTGGCCTGGCTTGGGGTGGGGCACAGATCGCTAGAAGGGCGCTGCTAGGGCACCGGCTGGGGAACCTTGAGGTTCTCTCCAGGCCACCAGGAGGGGCAGGACAGAACGGGCTCTGATGTGGTGCTTCGGGGCTCTCCCTGAGAGGGTGGTCCCCACCTGTAGCCTCAGGGTTCCCCCGGTGTCCCCCGCCGCCTCCCCAGGATGGGGCATGGGGCCGGGCGGGGAGGGAACTCAGCTGACCTGCTGCAAAAGGAGCCGGCCAGGGCCCGGAGGGGACAGAATGGGGCTGTCAGCTCACCTGGGGCCTCAAGATTTTCGCAGAGCTCAGACTTGGCCTTGCCATTGGGCCGGAAGTTGCCCTTCTGCGTGAACTTGTTGGACATGGCGGCCGCCGTCACGATGGCTTTGAGGCTGCGTTTGCGCTTGGGCACGTTCTGCTCCGGGTGGAAGAGGATGATGTACACCTTGGGCATGTAGAGCATTCCCAGGGACACCGAGGCGCTCAGACTCACGGAGACCGTCAGCGCCGTCGTCTGGATGTACAGCTGGCGGAGGGCAGGGTGGCATCAGAGCAGGCTCCGCCCTGACTGCAGGCCCTGACCCCTGCCAGTTCCCACCCAGGGACGCACATGGGGACCCCCCCCTGCATCCCGCTGCCTTCAGGCATCAGGGAGTCCTGACAGGGAGCTGAGACTGCAGACCAGGGTTTCTGTATTCAGATCTTGGCTCACCACTTCCAGCTGTGTGATCTTGGACACATCACATCCTTGTGCCTCTGTTACCTAATATATAATATGGGCGTGATCATGACAGTACTTACCTCCTAGGGCTGTTGTGAGAATTAAGTGACTTAATAAATGTTTAAAAAGTGTGGAAAACATCTGGCACATGGTAAGTGCCATTTCAGCTTACTGCTGTTATTTGCTATGCAGAGATGGCATGCCTGACGAGGGGCTCTCAGGAGACCACAACCCGCCCTTCTCAGGGCTGAGGGTGAGAGGAGCACCCCTTGGTGCCTTGGAATAACATCCCGTGACCATGCCACAGCCCCTCAGACCAGGCCCCCATTCAGTGACTGCCCCCAACTGATGGTCCCCGGTGCAGAGCCCAGGATCCTCAGCGCCCATCGCGATATGGTGGTGGCACTAGTCAGAGCTCATTTCACGCTCGCTCGCCAGCACTAACGGTGACAGATGTTTAGCAAAAATGAAAGCCCATTAATCTGGGTGTCGGATAATCCATTTTACAATAGTAAGGCCTTCCAGGCAGGGCCTGGCAATTCCCACTGTTCCCCGTCTGGGATTCCCCTCCCTGCCTCCTGCTTCCTCCAGGTTCTCCAGGCCTCAGCTGCCCCTCTGAACCCCTCCACCAAGGTGGGACCAAAGGAGACCCAAGCTAAGCCTCCTGGGTCTGGGCATGAGGGAGGCAGGAAATGCTCTTCCCCAAAACTGCTCTTTCTGGGCTGGGCCCTGCCCTGGAATGTGGATGATGTGCCACCTCCAGGAAGCCTCTCCTGACCCCCAGCTCTGTAGGCACCCATGACACCTTTCATTTCTTATACCCAGACCAGCAGTGTGGACACAGGTCTGGACTTGTGTCCTGAAGGCGCAGGGGCCCTGGCCCCATCTGGCAGTACCCCCCATGTAGGGACCAGGTCTTCCAGTTCTTACATTCCTCCCTGTCCCTTGCACGCCCCTCCATAAATGCCTCGTGACACTGGATGGTACAACCTTCATTTCCAGCCACCCTGCCCTGGGTTTCCTACCTTTGGGAGAGGTGCTAGAGAAGCTGCAGGGCCTAAAAGGAGAGTCCTGCCCTTCTGTGGGCCTCTGTCTTTTCCTCATGCAATGGGACAAAAGCAGCTACCTCACCTAAACCATAAGGGAACCCAAGGCACAGACTGTAAAGCCATGTCAAAGTTGCTTTTAGTGATCGCACGCACTGAGATGAAACTGAGAAGAGACATAGGGGACATGGGGGACAGCCGGATAGCTATGACATGCCCGAGCCGAGGCGCTGACACTTTTCAAAGCCCAGCCTCCAGGCCAGTGTGGCCCACGTCAGGCAGAGCTCCGAGGGGAAGAAAGCCAAGAGCAGCTACTAGTTCAGGAAAATGTCACAGGCTCAGGGGAAATGAAAGCCTGTCCCCCAGTAAGCACACGTCCCTCCATCCTCATACACCACCTATACTCTCAACCCTGGGCGTGGGGCTCTCCCAGAGGGAAAGGTCATGACCAGACAGCAGGGGGATGCTGGCCGTCTCTCCTGCCCAAGATATCAGGGTGAGAGAAGGCAGGATGATCATGGTGAGAGGGCGGGGAGAGGCTCCAGAGCATCAAAACAGACCCATGGGGAATATCATAGAGTCCTGGGCCACTGGAGAGTTGGCTGGTCATCTGGGTCTTCACCATGGGGTGGTAGTTCCCTGGGGACAAGGTGTATCTCCCTCATTACATCAGGGTTCCCTGAGGGCAGGGGCTGGCTCTCCTCTCACCCTGGGGGTTCTTGGGTATAGGGGTTGTATTCCAGGTGAGACACCCATCTTAGACCCTTTGCCTGCTCCTTATTGATGGGTGGAGTGTAATGGGCCGTATGGAGTTGGTGGGACCAGGGACCAGGGATAGAGGCAGAGGAACCCTTGCAGGGGACACAGTTCTATGTTGAGGGTCAGTGGCCTGGGTTCCAGAATCTACTCAGCCCCAGCCTGTGGGATGCTGGCAAGTTTCCTCCCCTCTCTGGGCACCAGACGCCCCTCTGTGAACACAGACAGGGCCAGTGCTATGGGTGTACAACTGTGCAGTCACCCAGGGGCCCTACAAGGGCCAGCTCTCACTTTAAGGTCCTGCTGCCACCATATTGAATTGTGGGTAATTTCTGAACAGTGGGCCCATCGTTTTCATTTTTTGCTGGGCCCTGAAAATTTTAGCCAACTCGGAACACAGGCATGAGCAGTCATTCGTGTTCTATTTTGTTTTTCAGCCTAAGAGCCTTTCTTCAAACAAAATACAAGATGGGGTATAAAAAGATCAAAACCCTCCATCCCAGCATGGGCCCTGGGGGGCTCCTCTAGCCATCCCCTGCTGGGAGGTAGGCCCTGTACACAGCAGGAGGGAGCCGGGCTGTCCACCCCCAGTTCTGCTCCTTGCCCCAGGGTGTGGAATTTGAGCCCCACCCCAGGAGCCTGCCTCTGGCTCAGACATGGTTTCTGAGCCCCTCTGTGAAGGCACACATGGCCACCAGGAGGTGGTAGCAGGTTAACCCTTAGCAGAGAAACAGTGGTCCTCTAGACCCCAGCTGGCACTCCCAGCACTCCCTGGGGCGCTGGACCCAGGCACCATAAGGGTCTTAAAGGCAGGCAGAGTGAGAGGCGCCCTCCGGGCTGTGATCTCCCTCCTCTCCCACTCACTCTCTAAACCCGCTGGTGCCTGAACTCCCACCACCCCGGCTCCCCTGTGTGGATGGGCCCTCACTGTACCCCGTCCTCTGTGAGGAATCCTCCATTCAGCCTCACTAGGCACGTGCTCCCCACAGTGAAGGATGTGGTCTGAGCTGGGTTTGATGTGGGAGGACAGAGGACACCTGGGGTGAGGAAAGGGCACAGGAAGGAGCAGCTGTGGATGTGGATGATGAATTTCCTGCTTTTGTACTAGGTCTGGGGGTACAGAGTTCAAGGGGCCCCAGTGGGGGCACCAAGGAGCTCTGCCTGCCTTGTGCTTCTGTAGGCCCACCCTGATAGGAACCGAGATCCTCAGTATCTGTACAAACCAGACACATGAACTTCCCCACACCCTGCCTGCCTCTGCAGCCACATCCTACACAAGCATGACTGAGCAGTAACGCCATATAGTGGAGAAAGCCCGCTCAGTGTAATTCCAAATGGCTGCAGTGTTAAGCCTTGGAAATCCAGGCTAAGGCTGGGAAATCCATCTGCCTGCTCACTAGAGCGGCACAGACAGCTTTACTCTGCGCCGGCACGCGCACCCCAGGGGAATGGGTGTAGCTGAGCACGTGCAAGTGTGTGTGTGCACACATGCATGCCTGCTCACACACACATCAACATACACATACATATCTGCATTGACACGTACACCTGAGCTCACAGCTGCACACCTGCGTCCAACTCACTGGGCTCACACACCCCTTCACACTTGGGTACACACACATATATATAGAAACAAATGTACTTACATCTACACACATCCACCTGCACACACTAACATTTGCACTCACACATCTACACACCTGTGTGCACAAACACTCCTGGGCACACATACTCAACCCACCCATCCATGCACACACCAGCAGCTACATACCCTCAGCACACCCATCAACCCAGCCCCTCAATCTGCATGCACATGGGCACACACCTGTGCACACACGCAACACACATGCACTACTTAGCATGCACATGTGTAAAAAGGCACACATACGTCTACACACACACACCTTTGTATGCACACCACAACTCCTACAACAGCCACACCCCACTTGATCTACACGCATACACACGCTTAGCAGCCAGACCTGCAGCCTGCACTGGGGCATCTTGCAGCTCGGCATAACATGGCCCAGACACCGCCCCAGGGTTGCCTGAGTCTCTAAGAAGCCTGAGAGGCTGAACCACAACAACTTCAAAGCATATCTCCTCCACCCCTCCCCATTCAGAGGCCCAGAGCAGGGAGGGGCATGTCCCATGTCCTAGGTCACCAGGGAGAGAGCACATTAGTGTGAGGCCAGCCTGTTGTATGACTTGGAACAAGTCCCTGTCCCCCTCTCAGACTGTGAACTGATCATCTCAGGGACTCCCTTCACAGCAGGGCCAGGGAAGCCTCCTAAAAAGGCAGGAATCAGAGGAGGGCAGGTCACCTGGCGAGATTGCAAAGGGTAGGGAGGCTGAGTTGGGGGGCTGGGCTGCATCAACTGGAGGTGGGAGGGCCTGATATCCTGGGATGACAGGGGCCCTGCTGGGGAGCAGGCTGCTGGCAGGCAGCCAGGGGGAATTATGGCAAGGTGGAGGGAGGGGCTTAGCCACCACATGGTGGCTTTACCACCAGCCTGGTACCTTTACTCCCTGAGGAGGTGTGGGAAGGGGCCTCCTGGTATTGTGGAGGGTAATTTCTCAAGCTGCCAGCTTCCTGGGATGTGGAATGGCCTCCCTGCTGGTTCCATGGGGGCCATGAGCATTGAGCAGCGTAAAGGCCTCTGCCTGCACCTGCACTCAGCAGAGAAGATCTCCCACAGCATGCCTGGTGGGGGCCAGAGACCCAGCTCACAGCACAGGCTGGGCGCAGTGGCTGCATGGTGGCTGTGTGGCTCAGGCATGCAAAGTGGGATCCCCCTGCTGAAACAGGCCCTGTCTCAGATCTCAGGTCTTAGGATACTCACTGCCAGCCCCAAGGTCTGCCTCTTAGTGCCTCCCATAGAGGCCCTTGAGGAGCTGTTAAAAAAGAGGTGGGCACAAACTGGGGAAGTCCCAGGGCATGAGGTGTCCCAGAGCTGTAGCGGGGAAGGGTGTGCTGGGGATGGAGGGTGCGCTCAAGTTAGACAAAGTGGGGTCAAGTCCAGCTGTGCCACCAAGGCAAGTCACTCCCCCTCTCTGTGCCCATGTCCTCATCTGTAAGCAGGAGGTGATGAGACCTACCCTGACCAGCGGCCACGGGGCCTAACGGCTGTTAGATGGAGTGTCTGGCACATGACGATCACCCCATCCCATTGCAGCTTTGAAAACCAGGCATCCCTTTTTAAAGGAGATGAAGTCTCCTTCTGTCACCCAGGCTGGAGTACAGTGGCGCAATCTTGACCCACTGCAACCTCCATCTCCCAAGTTCAAGTGTTTCTCCTGCCTCAGCCTCCAGAATAGCTTGGATTACGGACATGAGCCACCATACCTGGCTTCTTTTTTGTTTTTTTAATAGAAACAGGGTTTTACCATGTTGGTCAGGCTAGTCTCAAACCCTTGACTTCATGTGATCCACCTGCCTTGGCCTCCCAAAGTGCTGGGATTACAGGCGTGAGCCACCGCAGCTGGCCATGCACTCATAGCTTTCGATGCCAGCCTCAGGCTGACGACTCCTCAGTAGAACCTTCCCCTGAACTCCAGACTGCTGTATTCAATCACTGACTTGGCAGCTACACTTGGATGTCTAATGAGCATCCCAAACTTAGGACATCCAAAGGACCCTCTCTTCTGCCCCATCACAGGCTCCTCTCACTGTCTTCTCCTTAGCACGGGAAACGCCTTCCTTCCTGATTGTTCAGGCCTCAAAGCGTGGTGTCCTCCTTGACTCTCTTCTGGTCTCCCATCCAATGTGCCATCCACTGGAAACCTGGCCAGCTAGCCTCCAGACAGGCCCAACTCCCCCACTCCCCACTGTACCTGCTGGGACACCCTCTCCTGCAGAGCATGACAGTGACCTTCTCACAGCTGCTCTTGGTGGCCAGGGGGTCCTTTCCAACCTACATCAGATAGCACCCTCACCTGCTCAGAAAGCCGCAGCGGCCTCTCTTCTCATTCATGATAAAAACCAATGTCATTGCCACCATCTGCTCTGTCACCTCTTTGACCTCATCTCTCACCCCTCTGGCTTCCTCGGCTCCATGCTCCTTACAGTGTATTAACTGTCTGTGCACCCACTGTGTCCTGTGATTATGACTACAGGAGAAGGGTCATGTCCCCAATTTACTGATGAAGAAACAGGCTAGGGAGGCCAACTGGCTTGCCCAGATCCCACACTCATACATGGAGCTCAGACCAAGACCTGAGGCCCTTGGTTCACCATGATGCCCCTGCCTTCAGTGACTCTCAGTCCTTCAAGATAAAACCCCCAAGTCACCCAGCCAGCACCAGGGCTGGGATGTGGGCCGAACACACAGGACTCTTGGGATATGCCCAGGTCCTCAGACCAGGCCAACAGGAGGCAGAGATAGCCACTCTGCAGCTCCAGCCAAGAAGGAAGGGCCCTCTGTCAGGCCCTAGCCTTTGGGCTTCCGGGGTAGCCTGGGGCTAGGGAAAGAGGGATGGTCCCATGGGGATCCTGTGAAAGGTAGATGGAGGAGGGAGAAGAAAGGAGTGGACCGAAAGGAAGACAGGGCTGAGTAGGGAGAGAGAAGAGAAAGGGGTCTAGAAAAGAATGAAGAATGAAAGAGGGTACGGCCTCCCAGGCTGATAGAGAGGAGAGGGGAAGGGGCAAGAGAACAGGGGGAAGAAAGAAGGGAAGGAGATGGGGTAGGGGAAGCAGAGGTGGAGAGACAGGGAGAGAGAGAAGGGGGGAAGGGAAACAGGAGGATGGAAAGAGGGAGTGAAGGAGGGCTGAAGGAGAGAGGAGGAGGAGAGAGAAAAGGAGAGATGAGACAGAAAAAGGGGGAGAGAGAAGAGGGAGGGGCAAGGACAGAGAAAGAGGAGGGAAAACCCAGAACCCAGAGTGAAAACTTGCAACTGAGAGAGAAGGCAGAATGATGCAAAAGAAGTCATTTCCAGAGCAGAGGAGAGGCCAGCCAGCCTCAGGAGGCTGCCCCCTGCTCACTGCCCTCACCCACCGCTGTCCACCCCCAGCGCCCACCACTGACCTTGTCAGCTGACTGTGAGGTGCCGAAGAAGATGGGGATGAAGGCCAGCCAGACGATGCAGGTGGTGTACATGGTGAAGCCAATGGGCTTGGCCTCATTGAAGGTCTCAGGCACACCGCGTGTCTTGATGGCATACACTGTGCATGTGACCATGAGCAGCATGCTGTAGCCCAGCAGGCAGATGAGTGACAGATCTGAGATGTCGCACTTGAGCACACCCCTGGCAAAGCGGGGGTCGAGTGTTCGCTGGTTCTGGAAGTCCACCACTGAGTGGGAGGGGTCCACCACAAACCACACGCAGATGCCCAGCAGTTGTAGCCAGATGAGGCTGAAGGTGATGGCCAGCTGCGAGGCGGGGCTGATGAAGCGTGGGGCACTGACTGAGCGCTTGCCCTGCTCGAAGATGCGGTAAATGCGGTTGGTCTTGGTGAGCAGGGCCACGTAGCTGATGCTCATGCCTAGCCCCAGGAAGATGCGGCGCAGCGAGCAGGTGCCGAGGTCGGGCTCGGCGATCATGAGGAAGGTGGTGGCGTAGCACACGAAGATGCCCACCAGCAGCACGTAGCTCAGTTCACGGCCCGAGGCCCTGACGATGGGCGTGTCGTTGTAGCGCACAAAGGTGATGACCACGAACAACGTGGCCGCGATGCCCACCACGGCCAGGAAGAGCGGCAGCACAGCCCAGGGCGAGTCCCACTCAAGCTTGATGATGGGGATGGGCCGGCAGCCTGTGCGGTTCTCCGTGGGCCGCATGTCGTAGGGACACATCTTGCAGGTGTAGCGGTCCACCTGGTACTGGTACCCTGTGCAAGGCTCGCAGTGCCAGCAGCAGGGCATGCCCTTCACTGTCTTCTTCCGCTCGCCCGGCTGGCAGGGCAGGCTGCAGATGGAGCGGGGCAGCTGCTGGCCGCTCCCCAGCCAGTGCATCCGCTCTATCTGACAATGACACCAGGCCTCAGAACATGCCATCCAGCACCCCGGACCATCCCACTGGGTGGGGGCACCCTGTAGCCCCACACCCAAATCGTCCAGCTGCCCGGAGCCCACAGGGAGGTACTGCATCTAGCAGCTGAAATTAAACAAGCTCTCCAGCATAACTCAGACATAATTGGCCTGTAGGGAATCCTGATTGAACCCCAAACTCTCAAGACTCATATGAAGAAACTGAGCCCAAAAGCAGTAGTGACAACCTAGAAACACAGGAAACACTAGTGGCAGAGCAGAGAGAACTCAGGAGTCCTGGCTCTCAGCCCCTAAGGCCTTGCTACCCACAGCAGTTCCCCGGGCGGCAGCAGCCTTACCCAAGAGTTTGTTGGAAAGGCAAATTCCAGCCCCATAGACCTACTAACCCAGAATCTGAGTGTCAACAAGACCCCCAGACAATTCCTGCTCACACTGGAGTATGGTGAATGTGCTGCCCTACGGCCCAGCCCAAGGCGCCCCTGCCAAGCAGTACAGGGGGTTGGATTCATCAGAGGGCAGCGAACAAAGGTTTCATCAGAGGATGCTTAATGTATGCTCAGGGGTTAGCATTTCTTTACATCTTGCTCTAAATTAGTGCTACTCACAGTTACATGTCCCTGAAGACATAATGGCTGTGAGCAAAAGAGCCACATGTGTGTTGTCACTCCCTACTGAATATGTTACAATATTCTAGAAAGTGAGAGTCCCAAAAGAGCCTCGGGAACCGGGCAAAGGGACGTGACTACACCCGGGAGCTGTATTCAAAGCCACTGTTCTAAATACAGCGGCTCATAGGAAGGCTCACTCTCAGAGCACAGCAAGCCTGGCTGGACTGGTGCGCTTGCACTGGGCGCTACCTGCTGATAAAGCGTAACCAGCCGGTTGCGGGGTGTGGGGAGGGCTTTAGAGCAAAAGGGATAAGGTGGGCCGGGTAGGGATGCCCCGTGGCAAGGTAGGAAGACAACCTTAAGGAAGGTTGTCCTGTGACTCTGGGCATGACAGGCTGTGGATCACCTCAGAAGCCAAAGACACTGAGCAAGGACAAGCGCAACCTGCCGTGCAGGAATGTGGAGGCAGACGGTCCCTGTGCCCTGCAGCCATGCAACTGCGGGGGCAAGACTCTGCCCGGGAGGGCACAGGCGGTGGCGAGTGTTCTGGAAAACTCTGTGGTTCCAATGGAAAGAGACGTGACCAAGGTCAAGTCCTGGGATCACAGTTCTGTTGCTACCTGGCTGTGTGACCTTGAGCAAATGGCTTCTTTCTGAGCCTTTGTTTTTTCATCTGACCCAACAAAAGCGGATATGAAGCCACTCTGCCCTTTGTTCCTTGAGGTGACTTCCCCAAGAAATCAAGGAGTCATAATGGATATGCTTTTCAATATTTCACTAGAATGTCAGCTCCACAAGGGCAGGGAGCATAGTGTCAATTTCTGTGCTATATCTCCAGCCCGCAGCACAGGCTGGCACATAGTAGAGGCCCAGTAAGTCTCTGTGGCATCTATGAAAGAATAACTGCACAGGTGACAAGGTCCCAGGCACCAGTGGCATGAGGCCGCCACACTCAGACCCTGGAGGAGGACAGTGGCCAGGTAGGTGGTTACAGGTACCTTGCCTGCTCTGTGGCCCTCACAGCACAGCCCAAACTGAGCCACTCACGGAGACAGTGGGGAAGATTGATGGTTAAAGCCCAGCCCCGCTCACCTCCTGCCACCCTCTCAGTTCTGTCTGGGCCTCACAGGCAAGAGGACTAAGAGGGCATTGTGAGCCGTGTCAGAATGGGATGAAGGTGGTCTGGCTGGTGGAGGGGCCTTGTATTCCCAGAGAGGGGACTTTCAGGGAAGGGCCCACTGCCACCCACACCTGCCCAGTCCCTGCCGCCTTCAGTTAGGACATCTGGAAAACACGGATACTGGCCTGCCTCACAAAGCTGTCATCCCCAAGAGCAGCAGCTGGGACACAGCAGGTGCTCGCTATGTGCTAGCTGCTGCCGCTAGTGAGTTCCAGTCCCCGGCCCCCTTGTTCTGCCCACTGCACCCAAACAAGACAGGCTCCTCCACTTGGTGTTTTCCCACTTTGCCAAGTGTTCCTCACACCCCATTCTGCCCATCTCTCTCCACTCAGCAATCCAAGGAGCCTCACTTAGGAACGGGCTGTTCCTGCCAGTGTGACCTTAGGAGAGTTCTGCCTCTGCCTTAGAAGATGGTTAGGCTAAAGGAGCATGCAGTCCAAAAGTGATTTTAAGAGCAGAGCTTGAGGGGTTCCTCGCTGAAAGAGATTACAAGTGGAGACAGCGGGGCCTCAGTGCAGCACCCACGAGGTCCCGGGACGAGGAGGACTGAGGCCAGACAAGGACCTGTCTGAGTCTCTGCAGTCCATCCATGGGGTCACAGTGGGCCCACTCTGCTTATGGCTCACCCCTTCCCTTGCAAGGTAGAGACCAAGTCCACAAGCACTTTCTCAGGAACAAATCAAAAGTCCTTTCTCTCCAAAAACACTGCTGTGTTTCCCAGCTGGGATACTGAGGGCCAGAAAGGGAAAGTCACATCCCTGGGACACTCTATTAGCTAGGAAGGCGTGGCTAGGAGGACCCAGAAACATGGCTGCCTTCTATCGTGCTCTGATGGGGCTGGGGAACTGGCAACTGGCTCGCTACCCACCAGCCAGTGCCACAAACCCCGTTTGACCTGGATCCTTCCCTCCTCTGCCCAAACGTAGCCCTCCCCCTCCTCATCTTATTCCTCCATCACCCCCATCCACCCACCCAAAAAGCCTTTGAGCCATTTCACTCCAGTGTGAATTCCTCTATCCAGTGTCCCCCATCCCCTGCTCAGTGGGTAAAAGGTAAGAAGCCCCCAGGCTAAGGAAGAGGGCAGGGACCAGAACGGCCGCAGAACTCCGACTCTTCTGACTTCCATTTTAGGGTGGGGGCCTCAGAACCGCTGAGGTCTGGGACAGGGCCCTGGGAAGGAAGCCCCAGGCTGGCAGCAGCAATCCTGGAGGTCCGAGTAATCAGCAGCAGCCTCCCCTTGGGCCTCCCTCCCAGGGGCTGGAGCTGTGCGACTGACTCTTCACCCACTCCCCGCCTTCCCACTTACTCTAAGGTGCAGGTGGTCAGTCCAGGAGCCAATGACCTTGTACTCGGCAGAGCTGTTTTGCAGCTGGTATTGGTAGATGTCATAGCACCAGGTGTGTCTTCATTCTCACTGAAGGTCACAGGGTTCCCTGCAATGCCTGTAAGGGTGGGCCCCAGAGGCAGGGAGGATGATGAGCCTGGGGCAGAGACCTCTCTGATGCAATCCTTCATGGAACATCCTGGGAGATTTTACCCCTTGGAAACATCAGAAGAGGCTTCCTATTCCCACCCCACAAAGTCTCAGGCCCCCTTCCCTCGGGCATGGCCCAGGATACCCAGGATGGGACAGGGCCCGCATTACACCCCCACCTGAGAAGTTGACACTTCGGATGTACTTAAGCAGCTGGGAGCCATCCACGGGGTCCATGCGCGGGCAGAGCCCTACACGGCCAGGACACAGGTCTCGGTGCATGGCATGCAGCGCATGGCCCATGGCATACACGGCGTCAATCACAAACTGCACCTTCCCCTCCTGCTCATAAGCTGAGTCCTGCCCAATTCGCTCACGGTCTGCAATGAAGCACCAGGAACAGGAATGCTTGTGAGGCCCACTGTCCTCACAGTGGTGTCATGGGAGCCAGAGCACCTGCTAGCACCTGGAGAGGTGGCACAGCCTGTCCATCTGTGCTTGGCCAGGCCAGCCAAGTGCTCCCAGCCCAGTGCTCTATCACCCAGGAGATGGCCCTGTGCCGGAGGCTGGGGACAGGCCCATGGGTGTAACAGAGAATCCACTGGCCTGGACACTGTACCACTGATGCCTGTGCCACCAGGGTCCCAGAGTATCCAGGGCAGACTCCCTTGTCACCTGTCACACTGGAAGGCATGGCCCAGAGGTCTCCCTATGGCTGTGGTCCCTGCTGCCTTCCCCCAAGCCTGGCCTGGGGTAATCTTGGGAGCAGCTGCCTCTCTTGTCTGGGAAACAGCCAGGACAGGGGCTGTGTCCATTAATGATGGGAGTGCCCCTAAAGCCACTCACCCACGGGCAGCTGCTCCAGCCAGAGGTGAGGGTTGCCCTCATCCCAGGGCATGGGTAGGGAAACTGAGGCCCAGAGAGTTTGAAAGACTGCCCTCCATGGTTTCCAGTCACCCTAGATACCAGAAGGCACCACTGTCCCACCCATCCCTCTGCCACGTAAGGGACAACTCTCCTGTCCTCCAGTGGCCAGGGTCAGCGAACTTTGTAAACTGAGAAACCCATCCCCACAGCCTTCTCATTGCTAACCAGAGTGGCTCCCCAAGTCACCGTGGCCTGGGGATCTGACCTCGCATCCTTCTCCCCTCCCCTCCATGTCTACTGACCTCTGCTCCGCGGCCCAGTACAGGCTCCTTGGTTGTCCTTGTCAGCCAAAAGGGGATCATGATTCCACCTCACAGAGCTGCCGTGAGGCTTCCATGAGGTCATGTACCAAAAACACTTGGCAGCCAGAAGGGGGCTTATCCACAGTACCCTATGTGCAAAGTATGCAGAACAGGCTTGCTTCCGAGGGAGATGTGGAGTCCCTGGGGTGGGCAGGCGGGATGACTTTGTGGAGGGGGAGGTGGCTTCTGGCCTGGGCCCTGGGTAATATTAGATAACATTTTGAATAGCAACAGTAACAGTAACTAAGTACCTTCACTGAGCGCCTGCTATGTGCAGGCATCGTACAGAACTCTTATGCATATTCACTCATTGATTTCTCACAACAGTGCTATGGCGCAGTCACCTCCATTGCAGAGATGAAGAAACTAGCTGGGCACCGTGGCTCATGCCTGAGCCCCAGCACTTTGGGAGGCTGAGGTGGGTGGACCACCTGAGGTCAGTTCAAGACCAGCCTGGCCAAAACGGTCTTATCTACTAAAAATACCAAAATCAGCTGGGTGTGGTGGCAGGAGCCTGTAATCCCAACTCCGGAGGCTGAGGCAAGAGAATCATTTGAATCCGGGAGGTGGAAATTGCAGAGAACTAAGATTGGACCACTGCACTCCAGCCTGAGGGACAGAGTGAGACTCCATCTCAAAAGAAACTAAAGCACTGAGCACAGAAAGGCTCAGTAACATTCCAGGACCATGCAGAGCTGATGTGACTCCAGGTTCTCCAGCACCAGCCCTGAGCACCACACTATGCCAGATGGGGAGGGGGCAGGCAGAATGTGGGGAGGGGAGCAGTGATGAAGTGAGGATGTCGGGGCAGGAGGATGGCTGGGTAGAGGAAGGAGAGGATGGGAAGAGCTAGGGAGACCTGGCTTCCCCTCCAGGACTACAGCCCCTGCATACAGCATGGCCTTCTTCCCTGAGGCCAGGACAAGGAAATTACTCCTCTTACACCTCCACTCCTAGCACTGCCTCTCAGCTACAGGGCATGTGCAGAGGCAATTCCCCAGAAGGCAGCGGGGTGAGCAGCTGCACCTGTGTCCTACTCCCATGGGCCAAGGTTAAGCTGGATGCACATGAGGCAGTGATTCCCCGGGGACTCGAGGTCACTGTGCCTAGGCCCCTGCCTTGGACACCTTGGAGGCAGACCCAGGGTGCAGGAGATCTCACTGCCTCTCACTGAGGTCTGCTGCCCCCTCTAATCCCCTCACACCAGGAAGGACAGTGGCTGCATCCACACAAGGATGTGGGGATGGGGGTCGCTGGCCTAGTCACTCATTAGCCCTGCCAGCCAGAACCACATCCCATTTTCAGCCTTGCCGAGGGTAGGTAGTCACATATTGCCAAGTGGACAGCAGAAACCATGGAACCACAATGCTAAGGATGCCAGGACCATGGGGTCATCTGCCTCCACTGCCATTTTAAAGACAAGAAAACTGAGGCTGGTGGGGAAGCCCAGGTCACACAGCCAGTGGCAACAGGATGGGCATTCCTGGCTTCCAGACCCCACCCCTGCTCCATTTGACCGTGTCTGCGGGCTTTGCTAACCAGCAACACTCTTTCTAGGCAAAGGCACAAACAGACAGAGTGAACATGAAAGGCAGCTTCACCATCCTGCCTGTCTGAGGCCTCTGATCACAAGGTCACAAACGCCTATGGAGGAATGGAATGGATGACCCCATCCCCAAAGGACACACAGAATGCTGGGGCAGTGTTGTCTGAAAGAGCCTCCCTGGACCCACACTTGCTCCCTGCAGGCCCCTAGGCCCTGCCCTCTCCGGCCTGAAGAAGCATAAAACACGCTTGACTCCCCAGCAGCTCTCATCACACTCTCATCTCATATAAATGAGAGACTAAATTATTAACCAGCGATAGAGCGGGAGGCTGCAGCCACTGCAGAGAGGAGCAACTCTCTCCTAAGGCCAAGATGCACCCAGCCATTGGAGGCTGGCTGGATCTCTGGGGAAACACACTTCCCCCATGAGGCTGACCTCAGCCTCTCCTCAGAGGGTCTCATTGAAGCACCCACTCCTGGGCCACTTGGGATCCGGGCCAAGTGCTCTCACTGCAGTCACAAAGCCATCAGCATGGATGCTGGTGTGAATATCCCACAGGAGCTCCCTTGCCAGGGAAACCTGCCTCCACCCCAGGCAGCTCTGGGGGAAGGGCTCAGAGTGCTGGGCCTGGGGTGCTGCCCCTACAGAGCACCCAGCCCAGTGCTGTCACACAGCATGGACTTCAGGCAACTTCTCAACTAGCTATGGCCTCCTGGACTTTGTCTCAAGTCTAACCCCAGTAACATATGGGAAGACTGGGGTGCAATGAAGTCACCAGGCCGTAAGCATGCCCACCACACACACACACACACACACACACACACACACACACAGAGACACAGAGACACAGAGACACACACAGAGATACATACATACACACAGAGAGACACACATACACAGATACACAGACATACACACACATGCAGACACAGACACACACAGATACACACATGTACACAAACATACATATACATACAGACATATACAGACTGAAACACACACACATACACAGACACACAAAGATACACATGCATACACATATATATACACATGGAGATACATAGACACACACACATATGTATACACATGCAGATAGACGCACACATACACACACACATATATACACATGCGCACACACAGATACACATGCAGACACACATAACACAGAGATACACAAATGCACACAGACACACAGATGCATACACATACACACATACAGACACTGAAACAGACATACACACACCACACACACACATACATATATACACATACACACACAGATATACATGCACAGAGACACACACCACACCACACACACACACACTCACACTCCTGAACCCTGGCCTCAGATGCCCCAGGCCCTTCTCTTGTGCCCCACAGGGAACAACAATGACAGGGCTGAGGTGGCTCCCTGGAGGGGCAGCAGGGCATGTAGGGAGGGGGTGGGGGATGCTGCAGGAACCACAAACCCTCACTAAACCAGTCACGACGGTCTGGCCTCAATGAGCAGCTACAACTATGCCTGGGACAGCAGCAGCTCTGGGCTCACCTAACCTGGCTCCTCGGCAGGTGACTCTGCAGCCATGGCTCATGCTCACCCAGAGCCGTCGTGTACCTGGCACCTTGTCTTACCACAGCTCTGGGAGTCAGGCTTCACTGGCCCCCTCACAGGGGAGGTGGCGAGGTTTGCAGGTGGATGGGTGACATCCCAGAGCCTCACAGGAATCCTGGCACCAAGTAGGTGTTTGACACATACCTATGGACAGAGCTAGCTGGAAAGTGGTGGAGCTGGGATTTGAACCCAGATCTCTCTGGTTGTCCAAAAGAGTCTTCAGTATCCTGAACTGCCCCTCCTCCATTTAGTCGCTGACCTGCCTCCTTCCTCCTGTCCTAGGACTCAGGCCCTGCCTCCACTGCCTGGCCAGGCCTAACCAGGGACGGAGGACTCTGTCTGCAGGTCTAGAGGAGGAAGGTGGCAGTGGAGGGAAGGGGGTGGGAAAATCCCCTCTCATGGGTGGGCAGGAACCCCAGGACCAGGCAGAGGCACCGCAGTTCTGGGAGTAAGCAAGACATGTATTTCTGAGAGCTGTTGGAGGAGATAAATTCCAGAAACATGGCGGCAGTGACAGCAGCAACAGTTTGAAGATGTCCTAATTGTGTCCCGGGGCACAGTGAGGCAGAGATGCATTTGGCTCTGCCACGGGTGACAGCCAGCTGGGGAACCATCCAGGGAGGATTTTCTCCGTCAGAACCCCGAAGCATGGTTACTACGGAGACTGCAGTCTTTGTCTGCAGGTTGTAAATAGTAATTGAAATGAGTTTTCAAGGTTGAAATAATCAGAGTCCTCCTCATCTCCCCACTCACCTCTCCACAACTCACCCGCCCAGCCACAATCCTCCAGAGTTCCAGTGCTAGAACACACGTGCATACACACACTTTCCTGAAGCAGCTCCCTCACGCTAGGGTAGACAAAATCCACCACACAGACACTCACAGATACTGACATCTGTATGCACACAGCAGCAAATACACGAACCTTCATGCATTTACATATGCCTACAGACGCACGCATGCTCAAACGCAGGTGTACATATAAACGCTTC